AAAATAAAACAAAAGTCTTTAAAGAAACAGAGTACAGATATTCATAAATTAATAGAGTAAAAGCAAATAAGCAACATAAAAATGGAATATACACAGAGTCTGGATTATATATATTATTGTGTTTTCTTTGAATATTTTGACTGTGAAGAAACTAAGTACAGAGAGACATTTCATAGTATGAGCTGCTAAGCTAAACCAACATATATACTTTAAAGGTACCTTGACTTCAAAATTTGGGTCTAAGGTTATGTTACTTTGGAAAAGGGGTTCTACTTTTGTTTCCACAGAAGATGAGAACCTGTTGGACTCCATCCAGACCAATGAGGTTTGATAAACCAAGACCGCTCACGTGTTGCCAAAAATATTTTGCCCAACAAAAAGCAGGAAGCAGTTTAGAGAAAACTATACCCAAATTCCCAAATATTGTTTATAAGTGTTTGTTTACAAATTTTGAAAAGGGGGATATGCTATAGAGATGAATGCATCGGCATGGATCTTGGTCTATTGATACAAATTTAAGATCAATTTTGTTATACATATATATCTATGTATAGGTGGTATATATAATTGTATATCTATACATATCTATACATACACATATATACATATGTATATATACATATCTGCTTTTGGTTTAGTTATTATGTTTGTGCAGCTCATTTAAAAATGTAATGTATAGTTAAGAAATACAAATACAGATTAATAGATAATCATCTATAGGAGTCAAGTTTCTAGTCATCTTAGTTGGGTTTTCTATATGTACAGAGATATATTTTAGATAGATAGTTATTCTTCGAATTTTTCAAAGACCTACAGAATGTGGCATTTAAAATATTTTAACAAGTTAGTACTTTTAATGACAATGAGACACATCTGCTCCTGGAAGCACCAATCTACTTCAAGAGAAACATGGGCTTCAAACTGGCTCCTTATGGAACTTGTTAGCCATTTGGGCAAGAAATTACTCTTGCCTGGACTGCTTGATGGTATATTGTATGAACTGGACATGCAAGATCTGTAGGAAAATGATTGCTGAAATTGCATAAAGACAGTATGACAGTCCTTCGGGGTTCCAGCTTCCTGAAAGAGTCTGCCAGACATTCTGCAGGACACAGAAGAAAGTTACTAACAAATTGTCAATATAGGTGGAACTGTCTTTGAAATAGCCTGCTTCATTGAAAAGTCTTCCAGATACTATGATCCAGTAGGCTGAAGATGGGTGACTACAACATTGCAGAAAAACTTTGGGTGAGTGCCCAGGGAGCAAGATGTCTCTGTTAATTCTAGAGTTTTGGAAGTTTCTTACAATGCACTTCTTAAGTAATATTGCTTAGGTAATATTATATCTTGGACTCTTTGATGGAGTTGAAGAATAAAGAGCTATAATTATAGTTTTCCTTAATTATGATAGGAGATAAAGTAGCTGTAAATATGTAACTGTAATTCTTGGTTGATACCTGTTTTGTTATATCTAATCTTGTGATATTGAAGTTAAAACCTTCCTTTTCATTTAGACAGAAAAGGGGAAGTATGTGAGAGGTGATATATGCCGTGAATATGTTTTGTTGCCACTGGTTAATAAAGAGCTGCTTTCAACCAGTGACTTAACAGAATAAAACCAGGCTGATATATATGTGTATATATATATATATATATATATATATATATATAGAGAGAGAGAGAGAGAGAGAGAGAGAGAGAGAGAGAGAGAGAGAAAGTAGGCCAAGTCAGAGAGAAGCTATGCAGCTGTTTTCAGGAGACAGATGCACCAGAACCTTGTCAGTAAGCCCCAGGTACATAGAAACACACAGATTAATGGAGATGTGTTAGTTTAGGAATGAACAAGTGGCCGTCCACAACAGGGGTGTTCGTGGGGCTGGCCAAGAGCTGCTTTATTCTACGTTGAGATTTGAGAGTACACACCCTGTTTGTCTCTTGAATCATCTCCCTTATAAAAGATAAGGGAGAGATAATTGGCTAGTTTATATTGTTAGATACCATGAAAGGGAATGAACAAGGATACACATCATGTGAGGGGAGTGACTGGTCTAGTGTAGGTTGAGAAAAATGTTTTGCAGCTTACATCATACCTAAGAAACAGGATCTTATTCTTAATTACAAATAGAAACCTTAGTTTATTCTTTAACTATCTTATCTGCAAATAGAACTCTTAACCAGCAAAGTATATTTTCCTGTTTTGGTCTCACAGTAGTGATGGATTGGCATGGTCAAAATGCATTGTGTAACCATATGGAATTTAAGAAAAAAACATAAATAAATAAGAAAAGGTCTTTGGAACATAGCACTGATACTCCTTTTTTTCTATTCTGAAGACAAAATTAAAGATGAAGAACAAACTTTATCAGAAGAAACATTCACCCCCCTTCTAAAGGGCAGCTACTACAAACTCACTTTTTCATGGGGTCTTGCTTATCACCTGCATTACAATAGAAACCATTTCACTGTGGCTCAGAAACTTTGGGTTTTTCTCCCCATACACCACTATTGATAGCCCATGTTTTAATATAATGTTAATAATGTCTTTACATTAAAAAAACCAAATATTTCAGAAACTGCTAGCATAAAAAAAGATGTGGTTAAGCATGTGAGTATACTGGGTTTTAAAATTTATATATTATATAAACATATATTTTTTATATATGTAGTTATCTAACAAGGAATGACTCACTCATTCATAGTGTTCATCAAAGAGGCTGATAAACTATTGGGGTTCATTAAGAAACTATACTTATCTAGAAGGAGGAGTGATAGTGTTGTGTGTATGCTTTATCTTCAAAAGGTCTTGAGAAACTAAGGTATAAAACATTTGTGATTTTTTTATGTTTGTATGCCTATGCTGTATGTTAAATGAAATATTGAATTGCTGTTCTCAATATTTGGTTGTATAGCAGTGAGAAAAATTGATCAAAATCATGATTCCCTTACCATTGAGTTTATATTTAGGTAGTGATTATATACAATAATCATGTAAGAAGGATATGTGCTCAGATGTTGAGCCAATTCACCCATTGAGAAGATATACTAGTATATACCTTAAAGGTATAAGGGAATTGATCAGAAATGTTGAACAAAAGAGAAAGCCAGGTAGAAGCCCTGAGACAGGAATGAACTGACCATGTCACAGGTTCATTTAGAAGACTGTAAGCTGATTGTGAAGTAGGAAACTAGGAGGGAAAGGAGTAAAAGTGTATGTTCAGAATCTGAAGTAAACTGCCTAGAGACTGTTCTCAGTGGAAAAGGAGTCTGTTGTGATAGATTTGAGTGTGTGTGTTTGTGTGTGTTTTTGGTGTTTGGGTATTTCTCACAAAACTGCTTTCATTAAGAATTATCATGTCCTGAAAATCTAAGTTGTAGACCCACTGCTCAGTCCAGTCATTTGAGCTAACACTTGTCACTGAAATGTCTTTCTGTTGTAAGGAGGAGCAGAGGGCCGCTTCCCACTGCCCAGCTCCTGGACGCATGGCTAGCTTATACCCCAAAATAACAACATACAAATTGTATTCATTTAAACACTGCCAGGCCCATTAGTTCTAACCTCTTATTGCCTGACTCTCACATCTTGATTCAATCCATTTCTAATAATCTGTATGTCACCACGAGCTCATGGCTTATCAGGAAAGATTCAGCATGTCTGACCTGGCAGCTTCATGGAGGGCAGCTCTCTGCCTGCTTCCTTTCTCCCACCATTCTGTTCTGTCTACTCTGCCTCTCTAAGCTGCTGTCCTATCAAAAGGCCAAGGCGGTCTCTTTATTTAACCAATGAAAGCAACACATAGAAAGAAGACCCTTCTATACCATTTTTCAATCATGTGTAAATGTTAACAAATGCTTTGGTGTAAACTGTTTGGCTCATCTCAGCTTGCATACCATAAATCACCAAAAATCAGAAAATGAGAGATATATTGTGACTGAGAATATGGTTGTTTCTTTGTGCTAAAATGTAAAAAATATGACTTCAGCTAAAGGTTTAAGAAAAAATTTCAATCTTCTACTTCTCACCTTCCATTTGGATATATGTATATTTACCATATTGCATTGTACACTTCTACCTCTGATTAAGATACTTATATATTGTTTATGTATTGATATATATATATTTACCATATTGCAATGTATACTTGCACATTGTTTATATTTGGAGGTCATATTATCCTCATTTATTGCACAGTTGTTTATTATCTCAGTCTTTAAGTTAGATAGATATTGAGAATTATATAGATCAATAGTCATCTAAGTTTGTCATTTATAATTAGACTAATCAGGTTCTTTAGATACATAGAGATTATATTCAGTATAGATAGATAATCTTCAACCTCTTCAAAGAACTGTAGAAAATGGCCTTTAATCTAATTCAGAGTTCTGTGGTAGGGAGACACAATTGCTCCTGGCAACACCGATCTATTCCCAAGAGAATGTTGAGCACCATAGACACTCCACCTGGAGCCTTTCTTCTTGGCAGAACTGGCCTTTGGGTAAAGAAATGCCCATACCTCAACTACTGACAGAGTTACAGAGTATCCATAAATGAATAAAACAGGACTGTCATATCCTGCCAAGACAGGGTAAAACAGTTTTGAAAAGTTCCTTGCCTTTGAAAATGGTATGTCAGTTACGTTAGGCCTTAGCCAAAGTTGGTTGCTTCAATGCTGCAAACGTGACTTTGGGTGTTTGCCCAGGTAGCCAGTTGTCTCTGTGATTTGTTACATGTCTGGAAGTTGCTTGATTGCACTTCCCAATTACTCAGGTAACATTATTTCCTTTCTCAGATCTTTGATGGGATTGAAGATTATATAAACATAGTTACTTTCCTTTCATGACTTGACCAAGTTATTTGTTATACAAGACTTAAGCTAGTTAGAATAGGATATTTGTATTTATTGTATATAATTTCATAGGTTTGTACTTATTTATATAATCTTGTAGTAGGCTTAGAACTCTCTTACTTAAACAAAAGGGGGAGATGCTGCGGGAGCTCCTGGTGTCAGAAGTGGGATTTGAACCCACGACTCCAGAGGAGACTGCGACCTTAACGCAGCGCGCAGCGCCTTAGACCACTCGGCCATCCTGACCGTAAGTGCAGTGCTTTTTTTTTTTTTTTTACACTGCTGCCCTTCCTGATATGGAATTCTACTCGTACTCTGTCAATCATATTTTAATAAAATGCTGATTGGCCAGGCAGGCAGTATAGGCGGGAAAACCAGACAGGAAGTAGAGGTGATGCAATGAGAACAGGAGAATTCTGGGAAGCAGGGAGGTTCCTCTGCCACTCCTGCGCAGATCACCAAAGAGGCAGCATGTAACTTGCCCAGCTGAGAAAGGTACGGAGTCATGTGCTAACATAGATAAGGATAATGGGGTAACATAAGTTATAAGAGCTAATAAGTAGCCTGACCTAATGCGCCAATCAGTTTATAACCTTATGGAGTCCTGTGTATGATTTTCCTTGGGAGTTGCCGGCTGTGGGGTACTGGGCAGGAACAGAAACCCCAACAAGCCGGCCCTCATGTTACACATTTGCCTTTTCTTTCCTTTCCTTCCTTTCCATTCTATTTTGCAGGCACACTTACTTCACCTTTTAAACCTTTCTTTTATTTTGTGATCTATTTTAACGCCTTTGAATATAATCACTTCTTTTCGGACTTTCAACTTTCCTTTTATTTCTCTTTCTATGTTAAAATTAACATCTGTTGGTAGAGCCAAAGGTATTATGAAAGACCAAGAAGAGAGATGAGCAAGGGGGTTGAGAGTGAAACACTAGATGCTAAATAAATGTCCCAGTATAATTTTTGTGGGTGAATGAGAAGGTGTGGAATTTAAATCATAAAGAGAGGCAGTGGTCTTATGAAAGATGTACCTTCTCTTGTAGCATGAGAGAAAACAAGGAGATGAATAAAGACACAAATAAATGGGTGAATTGTTGCTCATAGAGACCAGAAGGCTCACTACACTTTGGGAAATCAAAGAAATAAGAACAAATATATTCATGAAATTGAAGATATCCAGTCATTAGCAATGAAGTGCTTTTTCCTTTTTCTCCTGCCAGACAGGGTGCTAGATTCTGGGAATACAAAGATAAAAGATTTCTTTCTCTTTTTAAGTACACAAGCAGTAAACATAAAAACATGGGAGAATTCTTGAAATTTTTATTGGAAAAGGTATTAAATGTTGTTCATATGTTCTGGATGAGTGGGTGCATATTTGTTATACCTAGAACTTTAAAGAACACCTTAGACTAATATAGGCTTCCTGGTACCAGAATGGCCTGAAGGTTAATACAAGGTAGAAAATATTAGTACCAACTGAAAATGAAAGCAAACTTTCTTACAAAGTTTAGATCACTAAGTTCATGTAATTCTAATTACATATTGAATCTGAACAACTAGCCAAAGTTGTAAATAGTAGAAAAGCACAAAATTGACAGGGTCAATGATAAACAGAAAGAAAAAGGAGGAAAAATAATGTTGTCTTCTTTCCATTACAGCTTTTGAGAAACAGTAGTTGAGCACTCCAGAAGAATGACCATGTGGCCAGTACATATGTATGACAGTGGGTTAGTTTCAGTTCTTTAATTCTGCTTTCTCTTTAATTAGCTCTTCAGGGAATCCAGAGCACAGAAGCCCATGGCACACTGAAGCTTTGTCCTCATGATCAGTTCTGTAGGGTGGTGACAGAAAAGGCAAGAGGTGATGAACTTTGGAAGCAGGGGACAAGAGCTACCCCGTTTAGACCATGAAGACTCATTCTAGTCCTTATAGCAGATCCCTTCAGGTCAGCCATAGGACATCGGACTTCATCAAGTGATGCTCATCTTAGATTTCCCCTTTTTAAATCTCATCTCAGAATTATGACCTCAAACCTACCCCAACATATAATTCAAGACATATCACTAGCTAATATATGCTTTCAGTTCCATGTTCTACCATTTCATCAGTTGAACATAACTTTTGTCAGCAACTTTCTGTTTACTTTAACTATTTTTTGTTAGATTTGTTTAGATTTTGGCGCCATGAGGATGATCCTTGGTCAAATCACTCTGTGTCTGTTGAGTGCAAAAAGGAAGGTTGAACACACTTGGGTCTCATCATCTGCAACCAAAAGTTTGACTACGTTTTGAATTGAGATAATACTGAGGTTGATATTTTAAACATTCAAGAGCTTCAAAACCTTGGATACTCATTGGTGCTAAAGGAAAACCTAACAGCTCAGGTAATAGTTCCAAAGAACAGGGCAATCTTCCCTCAGCTATTTTCCACTTCTCCTTGGTAGCAACAAGAACAAATATGTCAGAGTATAGGAATTACATCTGTTCTAGTAAAGGATCTCCTGGGTTTCTACTGACTACAAAGTACAGTCTCAGAGAATATTCATGGAATACTTGTACAACATTTCAATAAGACAAGAGATCTTTCTTAAATGCCAGTGAGAGTGTCTCTATCACCTGCTGGTCTGAGAGAGGTAAGAGTAAACACAATAGACTTTAACAATGTCAAACAAAATGTTTAATTATTGAGAATTATTCAAACTCTTGTGGTTCTTGTGGTCTCAGTTCTGTTTAAAGCAATTTGAGTGAATTTGGTTAAAAAATGTAGAACATGATTATTGTTTAATATTTTCAATTTTTATCAGCATAAGCTTTTCCATCTGCCTCTCAAACATAATTGTTTTATTTTATTTAAAAAAACCTTTTTTAAATTTTACACGCCATATTCCCTCCCCTCTTTCCATTCTTTCCACCCCTCCACCTGACCATCATCCACTCCTCAGAGAGGGTAAGGCACATTGCTTTGAGGAAAGTCCAAGGCCCTTCCTACTATATCTAGGCTAAGCAACTTATCCATCCAAAGAGAATGGGTTTGAAAAAGGCAGTATAAGCAGTAGGGATAAATCCTGGTGCTACTGCCAGTGACCCTGCAGTCTGCCTCAGCCTTACAACTATCAACCAGATTCAGAGGGTCTACTTTGGTCCAGTGATGGTTCTTTCACTGTCTGACTGAAGAAATAGTGCTGGTTTTGACAATATTCCATCTCTCAGATGTTTTAGAATTCAAGATTCTCTTTTAAACTATAGGACTATAAACTATGTAAAACAGGAAAAACTCACTAATTTTCAAAGTTGGTGAAAATTAAGTGAACAAGATTCTTACTCTCAGGGCCATGGATTTGAGGCCCATGTTGGGTGTCAGTTATAGAATAAATAATAAAACTCCAGAGACCAATACTGGGATTCAACCTGAAGATTAGAAAAGCAAAGCAGCCAGTCACTGGCTATTACCTCTACCTTCTACAAAACTGGTGAACCTGCATTCACAAATATTCAGAATGAGATTGAGTTGAGACCTGTCTTCTCCCGTTTTATATTCCTCTCTAGTGCTGGGATTAAAGGCATGTACCACCCAGACTCTATGGCTAACTAATGTGGTTACTGGGATTCTGTAAGATTGACTAGTGTGACTGCTTGACTCTCTGATATTCAGGCAAACTTTACTTATTAAAGTACCAAGGAAATATTACTAAATATATACATATTATTTTTCTTACAACTGTACGCTGCAAAAGCACTCATTTCTAGAAGTTATTTATTTTATGTGAACTTCCTCTGTTATTCTAAAATACACACTACATGGAATACATTGAGAGTGACTCTAGATTCTTTTCAGAAATAGAGACAGAGCTAACGGAGTTTGCTGACTGTCCTGAGCACCAGTGTTTATGTCCCATGGCATCTTGGAAGAAACCTATGGGGTGAAACACAGAAACAAAAAGCCAGACATCCTTCATGATGACACCATCTTCACAATTTTCTACAACTATAACTGCAGAAATCTGAGAAACAAACCCCAAATCCTCATCATACAGACAAGGAGCAGTGAGTCTGTTTCAGGCTCCAGGGTGTGGTTGTGAACTTTCTTTTATGAGTCTGGTGTGGACATGTCATGCTCTAGAAGATAAATAAAGGGAACATTTTAGTGTTAATGGTGTGTTCAGTACAAAAGAAACTACCTTATATCCTATGTTTTAAAGGAGCAACAAGTAGCCAAGAATAAAAAGAAATGTCCCAGTCATTTGTCAATGTTGTTGTTCTAGACATGATGAGTCATTTTTCTTGGTCAGTGGGAGTTTTTCTAGTAGTAATATATTCTGAGGGCTGGGGAGTTGACTCAGTGAGTAAGAAAGAAGAAGATAAAAAGTGATAGAGCTTAACAATTGACACCTTCTTTTTGACTATGGGTGTTCACATTGACATGGATAACTTGCACTCATATATGTACATGTACCACACACATATACATGTGCACATAGATATTCACATTTTCAATAAAATCATCATTCAGTATACCAGATAAGATGATAATGACAGCAGATATACTTAACTCTGTGGAATGTGTGTTTGTGCACATGTGTGTGCAACTTTCATTTAAGAAGTGCATTCTCAGCTAGGATATAATCGAGTTGTTTGGGTATCCAGAAGCAAAAGGATAGCCACTGCTGATGCAGATGAGGAGAGTGTGCTTAGCTGTAAATGGAATAAGAGTATAACAAAGGACCACATGGAGAAGAATTTCGTGCTTTCAAATCTTCTACCCCACTTAAGTGACTTCAGATGGTCTGAATGTGTTAGTAGTATTTTTATACAGTATGCTTGCCTGAGCTAACGTATTTTCAGTGGAATTTCTGTGTCTAATTATTGGGATGTTTTCAGTGGTGGAGAGATTTAGAGTATTTGGATTTCCATAATTACATTTGTTTAGAAACTTTCAATGTAAACAGTCTATTTAGGGAATACAAAATTCAGATACTTTCAATATAAAAAGTGAATGATATTTCACTTTACTTGTTTTTAAAATATATCAGTGACACATTAATTAATTAATTAATTAATTAATCAGAGAATTAATATTCTCTGATTTCCCCAACCCAAATGAATAAAAACTGCTAGGCTCACAACACATGCTATGTAAATCTTAGCCTATTATTTTAATCTAATTTATGGAAATTCGTTAACTCTGAAATGTCTGCTTTCACATTAACATAACCAGCAATTGACCAATGGGAATAGGACAGGGAAACT